GTCGATTTCTTGCGCGAATACGAAGCGCTCGGTCATATGCGTCAAATTCCGGATTCAGTTCTTTCCGCTCAGCACGTATATATTCGCATCATCCTGTCATCCGAGACAGCAGTCTCACTACGCGATTGAGAGTCGTTTTAACGCGTCAAGTCGAACGACAAACTCGACTTCGTTAAACGATCATTTGCATGCAGGTCCGAAACTCCAGACGGAGGTTACCTGCAGTGATCTTGCGATGGCGGCAATTCCGGTATGTATATGCTGAACGGTTACTTACGGACAGCGTGCGCGCCCTTTCTCGCTCTTCGGGTTATACAACAGCTCGTGACGGACGAAGGCAGCTCGTTTCCTCTTGCCGCGCCGGTCCTGCATGAGAACATCTACGTCGATGATGTTCTGTTCGGTGCCGATGATATTCCGCTTCTCAAACAAACTCGCGATCAGGTCTGCGCTTTGCTCGGTCGGGGACGGTTCGAATTGAGAAAATGGTCGAGCAATTCCGCTGCTCTGCTGAACGATATCGAGGTCGACAACCACGGCCTCGCGTGCGATCGCACTCTTCGAATCGACGAACATCTAAGAATCTTAGGCATAAGCTGGAGCCCATCTTCCGATATGTTTCAATTTACCGTAACTCATATTCCGTCCGTTTCAAAAACCAAGCGGTCAATACTCTCGTACGTTGCCAAATTGTTTGATCCAATGGGGTGGTGCACGCCAGTAACAATCGCTGCCAAGATCTTTATGCAACAATTGTGGCAGCTTAAACTCAACTGGGACGATGTCCTTCCGACTGACGTCCGGCAAAAGTGGGAAGCCCTTCAGGCCTCACTTGCCGATCTCCACGGTCTCCAACTGAATCGATGGATTCAGCGAGGGTCTGACACTGTCCGCTGCGAATTGCACGGATTTTCTGACGCGTCCACTCACGCATACGCAGCGGCCGTGTATCTTCGGCTCACTTCTCTCTCTGGCGAAATCTCTTCTCACTTGCTAATAGGCAAGTCAAAGGTCGCTCCGATCAAGTCCCTCAGTATTCCTCGGCTGGAATTATGCGCAGCCGGATTGTTGGCTCGACTACTCGAATTCGTGCGAACCACTCTTGGTCTCGCCACCTCCCCGTGCTATTGCTGGACAGACTCAACTGTCGTTTTAGCGTGGGTCACGCAACAACCGGCCAAATGGAAGACGTTCGTCGCGAATCGCGTATCAGAGATACAATCGCGCGTTCCGAACGCGGTGTGGAACCACGTTCCCACCGATGAAAATCCCGCACATTGCGCATCTCGCGGAATCGCCGGGTCTCTCCTTCGAACTCACCCACTCTGGTGGTGCGGCCCCGCATGGTTGCGTAACCCGATCGACGAGCCGTCGACTTCTCGATCGCACAATTTCGATACTCAAATCGAACAAAAGGAGAGTATTCAGTCTCATTTAGCTTCGACGGAACTTGACTGCGACTTTACGATGAGATTTTCGTCGTGGCCTCGGTTAATTCGCGTAACAGCGTATATAATGCGCTTCATCAATAAAACTCGGAAGCAGTCGATTCCCGTTGACGACGTTAGGGAGAACACACTAGCGTTATCAGCCCGCGAATGTCAACTCGCGAAAGAGTTTGTTCTGAGACGGATTCAGAAAGAGCTCTTCCCTCTCGAGTTCGCTGCGCTCACAAGTCAACGAGCCATATCCTCGAAAAGCTCGATTCTGTCGCTCAACCCTTTCCTCGGCGAGGATGGATTAATCCGTGTTGGCGGGCGGCTTTCGCACGCGCCGCTTTCCTTTTCCGTTAAACACCCGATTATTCTTGCCTCGCATCCGCTAGTCGCTTTGGTTCTGTATCACGTGCATTTAAAATCTCTACACGCAGGTCTACAATTAACGCTCGCTACGCTACGACGCGAGTATTGGGTCCTGCGCGCCCGAAGTCTCGCCAAACTCACTATTTTTCGCTGCGTTATTTGTACTCGAGAAAGGGCCACGATTCCTTTCCAACAGATGGGTGATCTGCCTCGCGTGCGGGTGACTCCTCCCGCACGCGCTTTTCTCAATTGCGGACTGGATTACGCTGGTCCGGTGCTCGTACGATCCTTGTCTGGTCGCGGAATCCCGTCACGAAAAGCGTATATCGCGATTTTTATTTGCATGGCGACTCGCGCCATTCATTTGGAGCTCGTGGAGGGCTACTCAACCTCAGCGTTTATCGGCGCGTTTTCTCGATTTTGCGCTCGACGCGGCCTGCCCTCGGCCATGTATTCAGATAATGGCACGAATTTTGTGGGCGCCGAACGCGAGCTTACCGCCGCGTTTCGCGCAGCTATCAGGGACCCGGACTTTCTCAATCGAACCGCTTCCGATCGAATCACGTGGCACTTTATGCCACCTTCCGCTCCTCATTTTGGCGGATTATGGGAGGCGGGAGTACGGAGTGTAAAGCACCATCTCCGTCGAGTGATTGGGGCTCATACTCTCACATTTGAGGAATTCTCAACAGTCTTATGCAATGTGGAGGCGTGTCTCAATTCCGACGGCTCGCTCCTCTCAACGACTCGGTCGACGATTATAAACCGTTAACTCCGGGCATTTTTTGATCGGCTCGGCCCTGACCGCAGTTCCCGAACCTTCCGTTTTGAATCTTCGCGAAAATAGACTGTCGCGCTGGCAACTCGTGCGCCAGATCTCAGAAAGATTCTGGAAGTTATGGCTTGACGACTATGTAAATACGTTACAACAGCGCGTCAAGTGGAAACGACCTGCCAAAACCGAGATCCGCGTCGGTCAACTCGTCTTATTGCGTAACCCTCTACTTCCCCCTTGCAAATGGGAGCTCGCTCGCGTACTACGATGTCACACGGGTCAAGACGGATTAACTCGCGTTGTTACGGTGAAGACTGCGGCGTCCGAGTATAAGCGACCGATTAATAAGCTATGCCTGCTTCCAATCGATATCGAGAAGCTGGAGCCTCCGACGTAAAGCGACTTCACGCTCCCGATTTCAAAGGAAATCATACGTACTCTCGATATTCCGATCGCCTCGTTAAATTCTTCTAAATGTTCTCTTAGTTTTGTACTCATAGCATACATTTCAAAACGATAGTTTCGAGGCGAGCGGTATGTTAAGGACCGTCAACACTTTTATTAAATTCGAGTCTATCTATTCTGTAAATTTATGTCGTTCAAATTGTCGTTCCGCCAAGTCGTTCGATCTTGCTTATTGTGTCAATATTTTTAAATTACTCGCGTTATTTGTGTCAGCCTCGCAGTAACGGCCGTCCTTTGTGATTATCGTCTTAAAAATTAAATATTTTGGCATGACTCTCGTCGACAGATTCTCGTTCGCGAAAGTACCCTTCGACTTGTTTTCAACGTCTCTTGTTTATTCGTTGTTCTATCACGACTTTCGCACGCAGAAAACACCTTGAAGTGTTTCCCGGTCAAACTGTTTTTTTGCTTCTTCTCGCATGGGCAAATTGAGGAGCGAACCGGCGTTCCCGCCGACTCTTTGTCAGAAGCCAACGAGAAATCATACGATCGAGATCGCGTCCGCACCTTGAGAATTCGAACAACTTGGCGGACTTATCGTTAGTAACGGGAACGCGGAACTCTATCTCAGTGTCGCGTCCGTGATACGATTCGCATCATTATATTTAATTCGGACAAAGTGAATAAATGACAGTGTTGTTAATTTGATTCAACCATGGTGCATTTATAAATCTGTTCCTCTCGCTCGCTCCCGTCTTCAATCTTCAGTCTCGCGGTCGCGGTCCACTATCATTCTGTCTCTCTCTTTCCTTCTCAACGTTCTATCACTCTGTCTCTCTCGCTCCTTCTCAACGCTATACCGCCGTCTCTCTCATCGCACATTCATCCCGCGTTCTTCCGGAGCGGAACCCGCCGCACGCGTTCACGACATTCGAGTGAAAATCCTCGAATCACGAACAGTTTATGTATTTTCAGGACTTTAGGTAATTTCCAGACCCGTTTTAAACATTTTTGGCATGGTTATTTCCAGAACTGTTCTGGAAATATACAATTATTTCTTTAGGACCTTGGTTTTCTATAAATATATATACGAGTATATATATATAATATATATATATATAATTTATCCAGGACCGTCCTGGAAATATACAACACATACAAGTTGTTTTTTCAGGACAGTCCTGGAAATTACCATCGCATGCCAAAAATATCCAGGACGAGCCTGGAAATTACCAAGAGTCCTGGAAATACGTAAAATTTACCAAAAAATGTCTTGGGAAAGCTCAATACATACACACACATATATATATATATATATATATATATATATATATAATATGCTATCCGTGCTATCTCACACAATGTGAAATACCAATATTCTATTTTATAAGTAGAGATTTCTACAACTTATCTCGGTAGGTGTTGTTATGCAATAAAATAATTGTCTTTTATATTTTTTATTTTGTCATGGAATCATGGAATACAAAATACATAATACGTCTGTGGAATAGTTATTTGACTGTGTAAAGTAAAATAATGGCACGTCTATCTTATTTAGATAACATTTATTTTTTGTTTCAAAATGAAGAAAAATATACTAAGAAAATAAACTATATATCAGGAGACGCGGTAGTGTCTCCGGCCATGTTCAAACCCTAAAAGACCTTAAAAGACACTACAAGTCTCCTTATCCTGCACCATCAAAGTCCATTTTGGGGGTGTAGAACTACTAAAATATAAAAAATTTGAATTGCACGTAATATAACCTGAAAGGCGGCATCGCCACGAGTAATTTGAGCCAAGAAAAAATAAAATCGGTCAAGCCGTTCTGGAGATACAAGCGGTCAAAAAGTGACGTTTTTCATGAAAAATAAAGTAACGTCGTCTTCTTCTTCTTCTTCTTCTTCTTCTTCTTCTTCTCTTTCTGTTCCGCGTATAAATCTCTTCTCACCTTTCACTCACACCTCCTTCAACTTCACCCACCCCTTTCCCTCCCACATCCCGCCCCCCACCCCCATCCCCCCACCCCCTCCCACCCCCTCTCACCCTCTTTCGCCTCTTTCACCCTCTTTCGTCCTCTCTTACCCTCTTTCCTCTCTCTCACCCTCTTTCGACCTCTTTCGTCCTCTCTCACCCTCTTTCGTCCTCTTTCACTCTCTTTCACCCTCTCTCACCCTCTTTCACCCTCTTTCGCCTTTCTCGTCTCTTCTCTTACCCTCATTCGTCCTCTCTCACCCTATCTTCAAAAAATCATAAAAATGAAAAGGTCAAGCCATGTTCAAAAGAAGGTCCTCAAAAATTTAAACCTAGTCTGTACAATGAAAAATAATTACTCGTAATTCCAGAGTTCCAATTTGTTAATATCGAATAATGTATTTGTTTCAAGTAATGGCAGTAGAGTCAAATACATACCTACGTATATGCAGTTTTTGCTGTTAATTGTACTTGAACGAAAAAAATAATTAAATGATTTAAATATAGCACATTTTAAATCAAGAAACTTATATAATCGAACTCTGTTTAGGAAAAGGTAGAACATTTCATTTGCCTCTGCCTTTACAAGAAACATTGGATAAGGTATGTCCTCCGGAAGATCCTATAAATTTGAATCACGAGTTGCACATTCTCGTTCGAGGTATACCCAAGAAATCTAAAGTGGTTTGGGAAAATTTGGTAGATATTAATAAAATGTATAAGGCTTTACAATGGTTGAAAGAAAATAATCCTCATTACTCAAAAATTCGTCTTCCAGCGTCATCTGATGATCTATTAAAGGATAAGTTGCAGGAAACAGAATATAGGATTGTCGATGAGGAAAGCGACAATGACGAAATAAATGAGGTGGTTGAGGAATTACCAGCATTGAATTTGTACAATGTACAGCAAAACAAAAATAATAATGATCAAACCGTTTTAAAACGTACGGCTTTTCTCACACAAATCACTGAACATTCGGATATTAACGATCAGTATACAATATACCCAATACACGCGAAAAGAATCGATAACGAATCTGCATTGAAGCTTTATCAAATGGTGAAAATTGAAGATTTTCCAATGGATAATCGTTATAAATATCTGGATGTCATGTGTTTCCCTGATTTATATCCTGATGGTGTCAATGGACAACGAGAAGATAGAAACTTTGCATTGCCGGAATATTTATTTATTAGAACACGATTGATGTCGAAACATAGTAGATTCAGGTTGAATCTGCAGTATCTGTTCTTCCTTCTCAATGATGCTAACTACCGACAGTTGAAAAGTGGTATCTATTATACGATGATGGTTACTAACCCACGAGAGAGATACACTGCTGGTAGATACTTGAACGAATTGAAAGGTTACCAATTAGAATCGAATTTAATGAGTATTTTCGCAAAATTGAGAAATACGGATCAATTTTGGCGACAACCGTCCAATAATGTAAAATGCATGACTTTGCATTACGGTCCAGCGACGTGGTTTTTGACTTTGAGTCCTAGTGAATGGAAATGGTCCGATTTGGGTGAATATTTACGAGATATGAATCCCGATAAAGAGAAGTTAGGCATCAGCGAACTAATCGCATACGATCCTGTAAGTACTTCTAGATTCATGTGCATAAAATTCAAAGCCATGATTGATTTTATTTGTTCGTCCGATAATCCAATAGGAAAGGTTATTCATTACTTCTGGCGACTGGAATATCAACGTAGAAGTATCCAGCACATGCATTGTATGATTTGGATAAAAGATGCTCCAGTATTAGGAAAATCGCCGGATGAAGAAGTTGCTACGTTTATTCAAAAATACGTAACGTGTGAAATTCCAGATGAAAATGTTTCGCCAACGTTGTACGATACGGTAATAAGTGATCAGAATCATAAACATAACTCGTATTGCATGCGTACGAAAAAAACGGAAACTAATATATACAGAAAGTGTCGGTTCGATTTTCCTCGGCCAGTTACTGAGAATTTCGTTTTAAGAGACGTTATCACTTCGATAGTCGGTAGAAAAAATTTACGCAGTAAGAGCAGATTGTACGATCTTCCTCGCAAGGAGTCGGAAAGGTTTATAAATGATTATAATCCGTCTATCAAATTAGCCTGGAAGGGAAATATGGACATACAATTTATTAGAGAAAAATCAGAGTTTTTAAACTCATATTTAACAAAATACACGACAAAGTCGGAAAAATGCAATACAGACTTTGAAGTGATAGATTCGAATAAGTCCTTGGCATCGAAACTGTGGAATTTTGCAATGCGTTCATTAAATAACAGAGAATGCGGTGCTTTAGAAGCTGCGGATACACTATTAGGGAATCCCTTGTACGGTACGGATAATGATACCATGGTCAAATGGATCGATGTTAATGAGGTGAGAAATAGAAAAGTTAAAACATTTAATGAAATTTAAGCTCTTGATGAAAATTCTACGAATATTTACTGTTCGTCACTCATCGATGATTACTATCCAAATAGACCTCAGGAATTAGAATCATTGAATTTGTACGATTTTGCCAGATTCTGGGAAATTACGAAACAGATGTCAAATAATGACGAAGTCAAGTGTTACAAACTGGCATCGGGTTTATTTTTAAAAAA